TCAGTGTGTGTTCTGAGAGGCCCAGACTGTTCGCCCCAGATCCACGTCAGCTCAGCATTGCCTAGTGATCCTGAGCAAACAGAATTTAGATTGTTTACGACTCCCTATGCCCGCACAACTGAAGAGGTCAGACTTGATCTCTCCGCGCCCGCCCCAATGTTGGAATCCCGATCATCCACATTCCCCCCTCCCCCAAAAAATGTCTGAGAGTTAGAATACACTTCTATCAAAAGCACTTTTCTCAGAATCTCCTCCATGACAAGAAAGAACACAGTCTGGGAAGTCACCTCTGACCTAATGTCTTCAGGTTTGGCTTCTATAAAGGAATACCACACACTGGAAATTCATGAAGAGCAGTATATTTGGCTCATGGTACTGGAGGATGGATAGTCCAATAATATGGTGTTTGAGTCTTATGATTGCCTTTGTGCTATGTCATCTCATTGCACAAGGCAAAGTGCAAGAGAGGAGAAAGGCAAGACAGGAAGTGTGGGGTCAAGTGCATGGACTGCTGCATACATGGCATACCTTAAGGGCTTCTGAGTTTCAGGCCACTCGCATCATGCTAGGTCTGTAAGCTACAGGCCACTTACCCCTGTAAGCACCCCTTTAGGCACACCCCTGAGTATAAGGCCATGTGTTGCAGCCTCTGCACTTGCTCCTTGGCCCACTCTTTGATTGGTAGCTGCAAGGACACTTAGCAGACATTGCATTGGTGGCTGCCTGTAATGTGCTTAGCTATGCCTGAGTATATATACGTGGTAACTGTGCAATAAAAACAGACCTGCTTCCTGCTTGGCCTCCTGCTTAGCGATTCTGCAAGCACACTCTCCTCTACCCTGATCTGTGGACCTCCTCACTGAATGAGAGAGAGCCCAGGCAAGCAAGTGATGTTTTTTATTTTAATACAGGGTCTAATTAAGTTCCTTAGAACCTCAAGTGTGTAACCCACCTGCTTCAGCCTCCTGAGTCACTGAGGTTACAGGTGTGTGCCACCACACCTGGCCTATTAGTTCTTTCATTAAATTTTTATTATGGATAGTACTGGGGCTCATTGTGTCATCTGTGGATATGAACATTACATAATTTGCTCCAAAACATTCCCCAATGCTTCCTTTTTACCTTTACTTCTCCCTTACCCTGTTCACTTTTCACTACTGTTCTGTTCTTCCTATTCTCCACCATAAAGAATGGAACTTTCTCATTTGCTGGCAAATGGTTAGGATTGGGGGCGAGCATCATGCTACACGAAATGGATCAGATTTAGTCAAGAGTTGAAAGTTTTTCTGATATAAGGAAGATAAAGAGAAAAATGGGGATTTTAAAAGTAGAATGGAAGATCTCAGAAAAATAGAAGGGAGATCTAGAATAAAGGCAGAGAATCAAGGATAAGGGACAAAGGGAAAGAATAGGGAAATAAAATCGACCAAATTTTTCTATGCACATATGAACATATCAAAAGAAATTCTGCTTTTATGTAAAGTTATAATTCACCAATGGAAACACTCCTTCTATCTCTAGTTGCTTCTACCTCTACTTTCTCCAGTGCTTTTATCATGAATGGGTCCTAAATTCTGTTGAAGGATTTATCCTCATCTATTTATATGACTATATAACTTTTGTCATAAAACCTATTTGCATGGAGAATTACATTTATTAATTTGCATTATGTTAAACCATCCTAACATCCCAGGGATGAAAAAAATTTGTCCATGATGTACAATCTTCTTAACATGAGTATACTAACTTTCTAGCTCAAATGTTAACAGAAGAACTGTATTCAAAGCTGTGAGAAATATAAAAATATGTAAAAAATGTATATTGACATTACTTGTTTTATTTTCCCAAACTGTTCTGAGAACATGAACCTGAGTTTTGAAAATGTAAAGCATCACAAATGTAATTCATGATCACCTGGTAAGACTTATGAAAAATTTGTGTAAATATTCTATAGAAATTGAGAAAACAAATAAGAACTAAATAAGAAATAGCAAACCTTTTGCAAATTATCCCAGTTTTTATTCTTTATTCAGCAATATCAAAGAATGTCTATTATTGTTCAGATATAGTGAATGCCCAATGCTCATGTTAGCTGATGTAACAATGTTCAAAGGTGGAAATATTGGGCTAAGAGAATTGTAACCCCATCAGCTGATTAATTCATTTGATGTACTAATCACTTGAATGAACTGTTGGGGGATAACTAGGCAGATAAGAGTGTGGCTAGAGGAAGTTGGTCACTGGTGCATGCCCTTGAGGATTATATCTTGTCTGAGGTTCCCCAAGCTGAGATCTTTCCTCCACCATGCCCTTCTGCCATAATGTTCTAACTCATCTCAGGCTCAGAGCATTGGAGTCCATGAATTTAGACCTCTGACACTATGACCCCAAAATGAACATTTTCTCCTCTTACTTGTCCTTGTAACACACTTTGATTACATCACAAATAGCTAAAACAATAACATAATCAAATTCTCATTCAGCAGACCATTACAAATAACTTTCATAATAGTTTACCATATGATCATAAATAGAGAACTAAAATTTTCAAAAACTAGGATGACTTTCTAACAAACTTCACATCATTTCTATCAACTACTTTAAGAACCAAAAATTATCAGTTTGTGTCACGAAGTTGAAAATTAGGAATATCATTGATGTTGAAAACTACCTCATGCTAACAATAATATGATTTGATTATGGATACACCAGATTGCAGTTTTTAAATCCCCATTCACCTTGCTAAGATTTCAACTGGAAGTTCGTTTTTTAGTGATATTTTTATCAAAATTTATAGTAAACTCATGATGTGTTCAATATTGTATACTGATCATACATGTAACAATAAGCCAATCTAAAAGAATTTTTACAACTTTAAAGCATGACACCCCACAGGAAAGAAAATTTTTAAACATGTACTTATGTATGTATTTAGTGGATAAGAGAAGTGTGACATAAATGTTAGTCCAAGGGGGAAAAAGAGTGTAAAACATCCAACCACTAAATAAAACACTATTTTTTCTGGAAGGAAAAGTCTTTATCACTCACAGAACTAGAGATAACTAGAATAACAGAATTTACCTTATTCTTCGTTTAATGGATCATGGGGGTTAACATTTTGTTATGGTTTCTAGACACTGGGAGATGTATTTTAAAAAGAGATGTAATCATTTTAAGTGTCAGTATTTACGAAGCTCCACAAGTTGAAACCTTTGCTCCTATAACATGAAGAAATATTTTACATGTAAAATTGCATAAGAGGCTACATGGTCTTTTAAATTTCCTTTCAGGGGTGGACAAGCAAAACATTAGTAAGGCCATTGGTCCAGGCACAGTACCTACTGAAGGTGCTTTAATTCTACCCACACATTTTCTTTGTTTCACAAGATTTGTCATTTACTTAGAGAATGAAAATTCTGCTCCTCTTGGCAGGACTATAGTATTTGAGCTCAATATTGTCACAGGTGTCAGTCAAGACTAATATTGGGCAAAGGTCAATAAAAATTTTTCATCCTCCTTCCTCAGGTAAAGGAAAGCCTGAAATGGTTTAAATTCAGAAGCAGACTTCATGTCACTACTCAAGGACTTTGAGATCCTGCCTCAATATATTGCAGATTGTAGAATGAAGATTATGTAGATTTTTTTCTTTATTAACATCAAAAACATCTCCACATACTTAAGGGAGCAGTCTGGATACATGGAAGTCTATTATGGACATATGGACATTGAATTCATAATATCGGTTTATAAAAAGAAATATCCATTTGTTTTCATCCTCAGATCTTGGCACAGAGTTTCTAACACCTTAAAACTTTCTCAGCCACAAGGATAATAAAAGCATCTTTTTAATAATATTTGGGTTTTCCTCCCCCAAATTCCCAAAATAGTTTTAGAATAATAAAAAT